GGGAAGTACATTAGAAGAAAGGAAACAAATTAAAAGAAGATGAGAGCAGCCCAAACCAGAGGAGGCGACCAGCAGTTATTTAGGGTGCCTGTCTTTGTGAATGTTCCATAATTCAGGGTGACATTAATTTTGAGGAAGAAATTTAAATAGCAGCCGAAGTAGTTCGGTATTGAGATGAATTTTTAAAATAAAGATTTAAAAAAAGTTCTGCACAATTGCAAGATGACACGCGGATGGGCCAAGATTGGCACATTGAGGGCAGTAAGCAGACACCTCATAAAAGAATTTATGGCGCGGGTTGGAAAAGGCATGTTTGTCTATTGTACCACTTTTATTCACTCTTACACATGGTATTTGGGATTCTGCAGAAGTTTTCTTTTTTGACTATAAAAGAGTGCTAAAAATGACTTTGGCAAATTCATGAATTCTAAGGAGGGAAGGAGTAAGAAGAAAAAAATAATAAGAGATTCTATTTCTTTTATTTAGCATTTCGACTCAGAAAAAGATCTTCTACATGTGCATGATTTAAGAGAAGTTTTCCAATATAAATCTGCCCTTATCCTGTCCAACACAGCACCGTGGAAAAGCATATCAATTTTATTTGAATAGCACTAGGGGTGTTGGAATTATTACACAGCTCAGACTTTCATTTATTCTCTTTGGGGCCTGCATCCTTTCTACTCCACTCAGGACCCTTGTGCACCAGAGGGTGGAATGACTTCTGGAGAGAAATTCTCTATCAGATGTGACTTTAATATCTTCTTGTCTTTTAAGCAGGAAGCTAACCGGGAGAGTTTGGAAATTGTCAGAACAGAGAATTCTTACTTTTGGAGCTTTTCCTTTTCCCCAGTAGGACTTCCAAAGAGAGTATTCCATGTCTTGTTTGACTATCATGTGGACCATAGATCTGACAGTTGATCAGAATCAATCACCCAACATGCGTTATTTGAACCTGTCTTCCTGGCCAAGCTTTCCAGTGAGGTGGACTTTGTGAGGACAGGTATAGAAACTTTTTCCCGTGTAGTAAAGCACAGTGCACACTCAGCACGCCTGTTCTTTGAAAGTGTGTGAGCAGAGCAGTGAATGGGGAAGAGAACAATAGGGAGTCAGAACCCTTCATTCATTCATTCATTCAACAAATATTTATTGAGTACCTACTATAGGCCAAACACTTTTTTAAGCTGTTGGAGAGCAGTAGTAACTCCAGAAATCACCAAATTCCTGTACCATGGAGCTGGCTTTCTATTGGGTGAGAGAGAAGAGAAATACAGTAGATACATACATTAGCTAGCTTGTTATATAATGAGGAATGATGAGGAGAACAACGAAGCAGGGAAGGGGGATTGGAAGTGTGTCAGTGTGAGAATCCATGTGTTTGTGCATTGCTGCACACGATAGAGAGTGACCTTTACTGAGATGATGTTTTGAGTAAGAACCTGAAGGAAATGAGGAAAGGAGCCATATGATTTCTGAGACTCAAGGATTCTAAGAAGAAGAAATAGCGAGTGCAAAGGCCCTGGGGCAGAACTGTGCCTGGCCAGTTGGAGGACCAGTGATGAGACCAGTGTGCCTAGAAAAGAGTGAGCCAGAGGCGAATACTAAGAGATGAGGTTAGAGGGCTTACAATATGGGGTAGGTCATTTATGGTGTTGATAAGGGCTTTGGTTTTGACCATGAAAACGATTTGTGTTTTACCCCAAGAGAGAAGTAGCTATTGAAAGGTTTTAAATAGAGGAGGGGCCTTGTCTACCATTTTCAGTGGACTATGTTGAGACTAAACTGAAGGGGGAAAAGGGCAGAAGCAGAGAGGTAAGTTCGGAGGCCAGCACAGTAATGCAGCTGAACTTGTTAGGGAACTGAGTAGCGGTTTATAGGCTGTTTAAGGTCTATAACATATCCTTTACAAACCGAGTTTCAACTACAAGAGCCAAACATTGCCTAAGCACTTCTTTGTTTATCCAGAATCAGGCTGGCACAGAGAAGCAGGTGGAAAGCTGTTCTAAGTACCAATGCCTAAAACAGCAAGTTACCCTGCTTCTTGGCACAGGTCTCCCATAAAGAATTCTCATGTTTACTTTGCTGGACATTTGTGGTTCCTTCCTATAGCTGCTTTAAAAAACCCCCCACACGGTCTGCATTTCCTTTTTGACTTTCTTACTAAAACAACAATTGACATTTATTTAGGAGCTTTGCCCATTCTAACAATGAAAGTTTATAGGAAATTAAACAGTCCTCTCATATACTAGATTGGATCCCTGAACAGAAAAACAGGCATTAGTAAAACAACTGGTGAAATCTGAATAAAGTCTGTAGTTTAAGTAATAGTGTTTTACAAACGTTAATTACTTAGTTCAAATATACTGTGGCTAATGTGGCAAACATATGATGTTAACATTAGAAGAAGTGAAGTGAAGGGCATAGGTGAACTTTGCAACTTTTCTGTTAGTTTAAAATTATTAGAAAATAAAACATTTATTTTCTACAAAGCCCCGTCAGAGGGAAAAGAAAACACAGGAGTGAAACTTTGAAAGAAAATTTTTTTGAGATAAAATGGTCAACAAGTATACTCTGAACATTTAGTCATTTTTGTCCACTATTAAGAAGTAGGTGTTACCACCAATAAATAGTAAGAAAATAGTCTTTCTTTTCCATCATTTCACGTAGATTAAGCTGCATTTCAAACCCTTCACCTGTCTCTTGATTTAAATGTACATGCATTACATTCATTGCCAGGGATCTATTTTGCTTAGAAAATATCTAGTTTTCAAAACAAGTTACCAGGCAAACCCTTGTCACAGGCTGATTTCCTCTCATTCTGCCTCCCTTCATTCCCTGTCTTCATTCTGGCTCTGCAGCACACACGCCTTCGCTAAGCACACGTGACTCAATGCAGCTGGCCCCTGACCTAGCTCCCCATTTTCGGAAGTGCTGGGGAAGGAAATCTGCCATCACGTTAAAAAAAAAACCAAACAAACAAACCCTGATCTTCTCAATTTGAGTGCTTCGATCAGGAATGATGAATGCAAATATCCCTACAGGCCAGGCAAGCCAGGCGTAAGGTGTGAAGTAATCAAGAGCAGTGGATAAAAACAGTCTGGCATATGCTCCTTTGCCTTAGAATGGATCTTATTTTGATTCTCCCTGGGAAGTTGTGTCTTTCCAGAATGTCAATGGAAGCTCGAGTCTGTTTCCAAGTGAGGCGCTTTGGAAAGACTGGTTATAGTTTAAGTCAGGTAATGTGGAAAAATGTGGCCAGTTGCAGTTTAAAGTTGTGACCAGGAAGGAATAAAATTTTATATTTCCATATAAGGCAGAGAAAAGATGGATGAGATTTTAATCCAGCTGCAAATCACACAATAATGCTGTGGGGTTTTCACAAGTTTTTCTCAGTTACTAATGCAAGACCGTTCAAATTAGCGTAGAAACAGGACAGATGTAACTTTCATCAAAAAGCTCTAGAAAGGAACTGGCCTGCTTATCAGGTAACAAATTCCTTTGTTTTACAATGCGTTAGACCAGGGGTGGCAAACACGAGGCCTGCGGCCCCCATCCGGCCCTCCACCTCGTTTTATCCAGCCCGGCACCTTGTTTCTACCCGGCGGCAGAGCTGAGCTCTCGCTTGACTGTTAAGGAGTTGTTACATTTATACCATCCTAACATTACATTCAACCCTTTGAAGGCAACCGTGAAGCTGAAATGGCCTCCCCATGAAAATGAGTTTGATGCCCCTGTGTTAGACTGAGGAGTTCTTTCTGGAGTGTACTTTACGTTTCCACTGTTGTAAATTAAGCCCTGGATAAATAGCTAAAACTAATACCAGCAGATTAATATTACTAATATTCCAGGGAAGTTCTAATGACATGTTTAGGATGCAAAGGATTAGACCAAATTACTGATTTAAGTTTCCAGGATGAGGACCACACACATGTGAAAAAGATATTAGGAGGTCCATGGAGCGTGTGGGGATGGCCTTGACTCCTTTATGTCTGTGCTATCTGACTCAAATAAAGAACATCTTTTTGGACCCTCTCAGCAAAACAAGCAGTGCACATGTAACCTGATGAACACATTTTCTACAGGAGCTGGGAGAGTTCCCCCAGGAACGCTGCCTCAGTGCTCTGACCTCCTACTATGCCCTGGGGCCACCTGTTTCCAGGGCTCTGTCAGGCCACAGACACTAACTAGACAAAGGCATGACCTGCCCCACCCCACCAGACCAAGGACGATGCAGGAAAGGGTCCTCCAAAGCAAGCGCCAACAGTCAACACCTGACTTCATAACCTTCTGCTAAAAGCAGATTAAGTCGCTAGGATCCTACGCACCCTACCCAAATTCGGTTCTCGCTTTAGCACACTCTCTTCTATGGGGCCAAGGTGACAGTAAGAGTATTGAATGGAATCGAACCAGCACAACAGTCCTTTCTGTGCCAAAGAGGGACACGCAAAGGGCTCAGAGGTGGAGAGCTTAGTGCTTACTTAAGGAACGGACAGGGCTTCTGCACGTGTCCCAGTTGTCGGTGTTCTGGAAACGCATTTCCTCACAATTTTGCATAGCACACCCTGGTTAGGAAGATGGGTGAGCCCCTCTGTAACCATGTCCTTGTATATCCAAATAGCGACATGTGCATGGAGGTCAGTGAGGGATTGTATCACAGACCCTTGTATATGCAGTAGCATGACAGGTGTTTCCATTCTCCACAAACTCTTATGGTAATTTCAGTAATCTCAAGTAAAAACACTTTCCAGGTGTATTTAACAATCCATTTGGGGCATCAACAGTGGACAAGAATTCTAGGTGGGGTTATAGAGGCTGAAAGCTGAATGCTCACCCCCAACGATTTTTACAAAGGTTGAACATTCTTTTAGCCCAGGTAATTCAAGCTAATCTGACTTGGCTGCTGGGCAAAAGAGTGGAGGGTTTTAGCAGCCCCTCCCACCTCCTGAGGCTGGGAGAGATGGTCACACTAAAGTAAGAGCAGTGTTCACGCAGCTGATCCTCACCTCTCCCCAGGCGGCGGGTGGGGGCTCCACAGGAGGGTAGTACTTGGGCACATCCCAGGCCACTGCAGCCATGAACCATTTGAAGTCCTTGCACTTGAGCTGTTTGCGTAACTCCTTCTGGGCAGAGATGTCCCCTGTGGAGAGGTGCCTGTACTCTGGGCGTCGCTGGTAAATGTACTCAGCAAATTCATCCATCCAGGTCTCAGCCACTCGCTTCAAGTTCTGTGCAGCAGAAAAGATTGTCATTTATTGGTCTGTGCCCTCAAAGGGTGATTGTAGTTGTACTAGAAATCGAAAAAAGAAAAGTAAAAGAAATCACGCAAGCGCAGGTCACTCTAGTTGGCGGCTTACTAACAGTATGAGTTTTCGTAACTACAAAAGGTATGATATGATTAGTCCAAGGCTTTGCATGTATTTCTATTTCTGGCATAGAAGTGAGTTGCCAATTAGATAATTAATTAAAGCCAGGAAAAGTTCAGTTTGCAATTATACCAATTTTCTTACCCCTCCTGTTACTTCATAATTATAAAAATTATTTTTCACATAGAAATAAAGGGGTTGAAGCTGGAGATAATGAAGTTCCTGTTAGGTATGAAATTGCTTAAACTGTTTCAAGGAACAGTCAGGGATCTTGCTAAGAATGAGGACAAAGAAGCTGATATTATTTTCTCCCAATGACAGAGAGAACCCAGCATTGCTAAATTCAAGACCGTGTGTTCTGATGATACTTTATACATGGGACATGAATACCAAGCAGACTTAGTAATTTACTGCACAAGGAAGCTGAGTGAAAGGAAGCACCAAGTAGCTAGTCTTCTCCACAGGTGTTCCCAGGGGATGAAGGAAAAGGAGGGTTGATGGAAGGGAAACAATACACTCCTTAGGGGCATGAGAGTGCATGGTTTCAGGATGGAAAGTTCAGCCCCTTTGTCAGTTTTGAGATTCCTTGCATAAGAACAGTACATATGGTCATCTGTACCTGCATCACGGGAGTGGTTGTAGGATTAAATAGAGTAACAATGTTAAGTGCTTTAGAATAGTACCTGGCACAGAATAGGCAGTAAGCATATGAGAGCTATTATTATTATTAATAAGTGTGCGGCACTGGAAATCAAAGAGCTGGGTGTTGGGTTTGGCCGCAGATGAGCTGAGTTGTGCCTGCGGTCTGTGAGAAGGGCTTCAGAGGAGATGAGATGTTCTTGGACATTCCTTCAGCTCTATGATGCTAAGCAGTAGAGAAAACAACCGCATTGTCTTGAAGAGATCACTTCTCATGCCCCCAAGTTGCAGGTCAGTTTCATAGGCTGGTGTCCCATAGGCTATGGTTCTCCTCGTTTTGTGTTTAAAATTCCTTAAGTGCTCAGTTGGTGTGAACATTCACCCTGTCTGGTTTTTCATTTGCATTGGAAGAGAAAAAGAGCAGAAAGGCTGGGAACTTTAGGAAGATCCAGAGATGTATCTAAAGTAAAAACTAGTGATATTTAGGAAATCATTTTATCTTAAAAATTGCTGCAGAATCCTAATTAAGGCCTGGCACCATACCCAGAGGTCTGCTGGATTTGGAGACGAGGTCTCCAAATATTTTCTTTCTTATGGGATTGTGCTTCTTTCTTGTTCTGTCCCTCCAGCCCTCCCCCCAGGGTCCCCATGGGCCTCTCTCCCATTTGACCTCCTCACCTTCTGTGGATTCCTTCATTAGTTATGGTCAGCGGTGGGCACGAAGCAGGGCTCAATTAATATAGTAAGACGCAGAGAAGAGACAATGTTACAAAGACTACCCTGATTTCTTGGTTGCCTCTGCATTCCTTTTTTCCTAAGATTCCTAGCACCAAAAGTGTAAGACTTATTGTGTGAGAAAATGATTGCCTGATGGATACCCCATAGACATGGCTTTGCTCAAAATGCTTCCCATTCCTCTGACTTCAGTTTACCCTGACAGAAGCTCAGAGTCGATGTTGTTTTGTAATATTCTAGCCTTTGCCACAGATTCTGAACTGCCTGATTTGTTTGGGGAAAGAAAAGGAAACAAGTGATGTTTTGAGGCTCCTAGTCTGGGATGGTACCATGTACCACAGACTTATATAACATCTAAGTGTGTGTTTTCAGTACCATTTTGCCATTTACTTTTTATTCTGACAAGTATTCTAGATGAATGCACTTTATTTCCATTTGTCCTTGGAGAGAACATTTTTTATAATTAACAAAAGATTCAAAGATAGAATGAAAAATTAGTCAATAATAAAACTATATATGAAATTACGTTTTAGCTGTAGTTCTAACCTTTATCCTAAACTTTAATTATTATGTAAAGTAAAAATATTTAATTTTCACTTACTTTATTCTTCTCTGATAAACAAAAATGAATAAAGGAAGGGGGATAGCAAAAAGCATAGACAAAGAGATAAACTGTCCAGTAATAATGAGAAAGTGCCTTTATTAAGTAGAGGCACACATTTCCAAAAATGATTTGTCACTAAGATCCAACCTGACTTAAGTAAATAAGCACTTTAAGATTGTAAATGCTATTAACTTAGGAATAGATTTTTTTAAATTAAAAGGCCCAGCACCTCAAATGATTCCAAGCACAGGTGTGTATTCATCTGGGTGTGCTAATTGTTGGTTTAATAATAGATCATATTATAAAATGAATGTGAACAATTTTCTAGCATGGCCTGTATCTACCAACAAAGGCACTGAAACAGAAATATTTTTTAAAGCGCTGTTATTAAAGGATAGATATTGTTGCTTTGGGTTTTAGAAATAGAAATAGAAATTATTGTGAAACTCAAAGAGAAACTGACTAGTCCAGGTGCATTCACTTGGAAATGGTTTGAAGGGTCATGACAAATGTTAGCCAGAGTTAAGTGCCAACAACATTAGGGAAGCTGCAGTAGAGTTGATTGGGGACTAGCCAGGTAGCGTTTGCATCACGTTCTTTTCAAATTGAAATACAGTTGGTTATGGGTTAGGGTTGCTGACTTCTCAAACACTCCAAAGAATGCAGCAGGATCATGGGCATTTCCAGGGATAATGTGAAATTGTAGATTCCTTTTTTTGTAGCTTTTCAGGAGATAAGAGAAACAGCATAATAGTTGCAAAAACTGCAATAGCTAGTTTTCTTCCAGCAATGAGTGTTATATAAGCATTTAAACATAAATACAACATCCTGGCCATTCTCTAATATTCCTGATGCCCCATTAGGCATCTTCTATTATAGATACTCTACTTTTCTGAGTGGAATTTCCCATCAGGAGAAAATTTCTAAAGTGTCGATTGTGGTAGTCAAGGAATAGTCCTCACCCCAAAATATTCCAGCCAAATAATATCATTCTGAAGTCATCATTCTGGAAATAACAATACGCTGTGTTAATTTGCCAGTCTCATCGTGAGTCAACACTTAGGTTTTTGGAAAATATTGGAAACACAGCTGAGAAGTATTACAAGAAGTTGCAAGGAAAGTTTCATGGGTCTTTTCTTGATTATAGAATAAATCCACCCACTCCAGGAACTAGTATAGTATATTGTATACACATTTGAGTTCACTGAAGCATTTACATAGGAATACATATGTACACATTCAAATACATGGAGGTAATAGGGTAGGGGCAAAGCAATATTCCTCGCTTAAACATTCATAGCCGTGTACACGTTTACAGAATTATAAAACTGAGACTTCCCAATAACATCTCCTGCCAGAGACTGTAACAAAGAAAAATAAGTCAATCTGAGGTCTCCCTGATATTGAATGGACATTGATGGAGGCAGTAAGATGCCAAAAAATAGTTATCGAGAGGAAAGAAAGAGTAAAGTATGGGCCCTGGGAGATGGATACCCAAACTTGTTTACTCCCACACAGAAGCTGGATCCATAAAAGTTGCCTTGTATACACAGAGCCAGGTGTTATCTGGGATTCCTGTTTTTTTAGAGATTTAAATACAATTGTTTCACCCACAAGTCACACATTCTTATCTTCCCCAAGACATGTGTGGATTCCCAGGGGTGTGTGCTCACACATTCATCCACTATTTCCTGTTCTGGGATCCGCCCTTCCTCCTGGCACCTTGACCTGGGCTCTCTGGCTACTCTGTCCTGAAGAGCTGAGTGGGTGACAGGTGATTCTCCATGCTTCTCAAACACACCTAAGGTAGATCAAGCCACGCACAGTGAAGATTTTAAGGAAGCGGGAGAGACTAGGAGAGACAGCAGTGCAGCCGATGATGGAAGACGGCATATTTGACTTCTTTAATGGTCTTCGGTTGCTATAAAGAATTTCACAGAAGGGACCAAAATTCTGCCATCCGAAGGTGCTTTTGAGGGTGTTGATTTTAAGTGCATATATTCAACTTAGACTTTTCCCTGTTAATCTGTCTTTACTAATTTGGTTAGTAGCCCAGCCAGAAGAACTTAGAAGGTGGAGTGCTCCTAACCATGTACAGATTGATGCCTCGCAATTTGAATTGAGTTTTGCTTAAATAAACTCTTAAAATTTTTAATATGCATCAGTTGATCTCTTAACACATGGAACACGCTTATACTGCAAATATTGCTTATCCAAAATTCACATTTATCTGGGTGTCCTATATTTCTGTTTGCTAAATCTGGCAACCTGACTTCCAACGTACAATAAATGTGTACAGTATTGTGCTCCATGACTGTTTTTGAATTCACTACCTGACTGTATATGCAGAATCTGGCATATTTTGATGCTGTTGCCAACACCCAGTGAATATTTTGCTTCCGTGGAAATTACTCCAGGGATGTTTCAAGGGCTCTGCAGAGAAGGCTGCCATAACCCACCGTTGATCTCAATATGCTGCACACAGTCCCACTGATTTTCTGTTTAAATCAAGTGGGATCCTGCTGGCCCCTATCTGTGAAGCAAGCAGGGAAGCAGCCATGTCACATAAGATAACAGCAGTGCTAATTGGCAGCTAGAAGGGGGGGCTCTGCAAAGCCAGAAGGGGCAGTTTAGGGCTTACTGTTAACATCAGTCTGAACATAAGGAGGTGAAGGCTCCCTGTCTCCCCACCTCAGGCTGGGTTCCATTCGGGCTCTGAGTGTTGTGTGGACAGAGGAGACTGGGGGAAAAGGCCCAGTCCCATTCAAGGTGGACTCAGGAAATTTTACCTGCTGGGGTTATTCCCGGCATGGAAGTTCAAGAAAGACAGTTACTGAAGCTGACAAATACTTACAAAATATTTTTTGTACAGAAGATAAATAAAGAATTTCTCTATTTTTAAAAGCTATAGACTTTCATAATTTGGGAATCATAAGTTAAATGAAAACTGTTATTCTGAGCACCTTCTATGCACAAGACATTGCTAACATCCTCTGTTTTTATGACACTCATCTGTGGTTCCTTGTGTATCTGAACACATCCCACTATTCAACCCAAACTGATATTAATCTCTCATTTCTTTGTGTGGCTCTAACATTTATTAACACACTTAATTTAACACATTCAGCCTTGTATCAGAGATCTTTAGAGTTCAAGTCCTGTTTTCTCTGCACCATCCAACACTAAATCTTCCTTTACTGCTAATAATCATCAGGTCTTTGAATTGATATTTTACCAGGACAATTAAGTCACACTTTTGCTTCAGTTCATAAGAACAGATTTCCAGCTCTGACTGATCATCTTTATTGCGCAGCACGAGGAAAACAGATTGTTCCATTATACCTGCTTGTTCATGAAACTGCATAAATCGATCCACTAATTATTTTTTCTCCAGCAACATTTTAGATCCTACTGTTCGATCATTAAAAAAAAAAATACAATCCTCATTCAGTTTCTCGGCATTTTATTTGGGACTTGATTGTTTCTCGGGCTACGAGGCTGCCCCACGACGCCTGCGCATCACCTGGGCCATCTCGCCTCAGGAGCACGCTTCTGTTTCTCAGTGCAGGTGCAGTGCTGACCTGGGCACTGGCGTGACCCCAGTCCCCATGCTGTGCTGGTGTCAATATTAAGCTATTGTATTACAGTGGACTTAGTCATCTACTTCTCTTTCTTCAGCTCTCCCCTCCTCCCGCCCCTGCATTTTCTGTGTTGAGTTCCCCCCAGATACTGCTGATAGCTGGCAGAGCCAATGTCACCCAGAAAGGCTTTGTCACACTCTATCAAGGAATTGCATCACTCTCCCAAGACTTTAAAAATTCTGCTTTGATTTAAATGCATTTCTCTCCTCCTCTTTGAAGCCTGAGATTACTTTAGTAGCTCCAGAGCCCCCCCCCCCAAAGCGCTCTTATCATTGATAATGCGATAATGTCATCATGCATACAGCTCAAAAGAGAATCTCTTTAGGAAAGCCTCTACCTCACTGCAATTATTCAGCCCAGCGTTCTTCTCTGATCTGAAGACGCCTTTGAAGTCAGTGGGAAGCCTTCAGCAGAATCCAGCACTGAAAGAGAGGCTTCACTGACAGGCAGTTTCCTTTCTCTTTTTCCTCAAAGACTGTGTGAGCTGTTTGCTAGTGATTACCTGCTCTTGGCTGTTTTAATGTAACTTAATTATATCTCTATCACATTTTTTGGGCTAATATTTTGGATACTTATGGTAGTGTGTCTGATGGCATTTAATGCAGTCAAATTATATAACTATACACCTCATTTAAAAATGTATGTAAGCCTAATTTTAAAAATAGTTTCTTGAGGAATAATGATAGACAATAGACTGCTCATATTTAAAGTGTACAATTTGGTGCATTTTGACACATGTATTAGTGAAACCATGGCCATGATTGAGATAATGAATATATCCATCACCTCTAAATATTCCGGCCTGCCTCTTTGAAATCCCTTTTCAAATCTCCTTTCTTTGATACCTTTACAAATCCCAGGCAGCCACTGATCTACTAAACTTTTTAAAAATTTATATTAATGTTGGCAGTGATATCGACTCTTGGTTCAGCAGCCTTGGTTTTTGAGTTCATCAGAAAAGAATTCAGAGCCACAAACTCCTGCATGAGAGGAAAGTCACTGAGGCAGAAGCAGTGAGCCAATTGGGCTGCACGGACTCAGGAAACAAGTTTGAGAAGCAAAATAAGGGCCCTCAGAGCTTAGGAGAAGGAAAGCAAAGATACAAAGGAAAGAAGACCTTCCTTCTTGTGCCTGAAGAAGGAAGGTGTATGCTCTAGGGAGAGAGCATATGCTGGGTCTTTTGTCTCAAGGGTTTTTATCTGTTTTCGAAAGTCAGGTATTTTAGAGAATGTCTCAGGGGAGGATCTCAACAGAATATTCACCAGCTTTCTAGGTCTGAGACATCAAAATGAGCATATTGTGTCAGGGTCATGATCCCTACTGATTGGTTGGCACTAGGTATGAGGTCATTGGTCATTGCACCTTGTCCAGATGCCAGCCATGGCTGCTTTGTCTGGTTTTGCTGATTTTCTGGGCTTGGAGCTGAAAGAAAACTAAGGCCTAGATGTTATCTATAGTTTGACCAAAATCTGTCTCTGCGGTCAACAGATCCAAGGCTTTGTTGCTAAGGTTATATGATCTTGATCAGAAGAACCTCATTATCCTGAGGGCTTAATGCCTCATTGGTTGTACTAAGTACAACTTACTTACTTTTGCTAAGTAAGTTTTCTGGCTTCTTACTATCTTACCTCATTAAGACTAATTTTTAAAGATCGGTTTTAGGTTCACAGCAAAATTGAAGGGCAGGTATTGAAATTTTTTCATCTACTCTTAGCATCCACTCAGGCATAGGGTTAGAGTGAAGTATTTGTTATAATTTATGAACCTACACTGACATATCATAATTGCCCAGAGTTCATAGTTTATATGTGGGTGCACTCTGGGTGCTATATGCTGATTTACTTTTTGTCACTACAATTTAGTTTGCATTTTCTAAAATTTTGTATAAATGAATCACAGAGTATGTGGTCTTTTTGTCTGGCTCCTTTAACCAGAATAATTATTCTGAGGTTTATCCATGGAGTTGCATATATATTCCTATTTATTGGATTCCATACTATGGCTGTACCACAACTTCTTTAACCATGTACCACCTGAGAAACATCTGGGTTATTACTAGTATGGGGCTATTTCACATAATACTGCTGTAAACAATCTTGTGTACATCTTTGTGCACATACTGACTTCCACTTATGTTGGCTATGTATCTGAAATAGACTGGTTGGGTCATGTGTTCGGCAGTCTAACTCTAAGTGAAGATGCTAAACTGTTTTCCTAAGTGGTTGTATCATTTTACATTTCCATCAATATTCCAGTTCCATCACAACCTCTCCAGAAACTCAGTACGGTCAGTCTTTTTCATTTCTGTCATTTTAAAAGTGGGTGGTGGTATCTCATTATAATTTTAATTTACATTCCCTGATAAATAATTATGCTGTGCCTTTTCATGTAATTATTTACTACATATCTTATTTGGTGATGTATCTTTTTAAATATTTTTGTCCATTTAAAAACTTGAGCTTTTTTATTATTGGATTTTGACAACTCTTTATATATCTGAGATACAAGTTCTTTGTCAGAAATGTGATTTGTCAATATCTTCTCCAAGTTCATGTTTTGTCTTTTTATTGTCTTAACAATGCCCTTTAAAGGGAAGGAGGTCTTTATTTCAGTTAGCTCCAACTTACCAATTTTTATTTAGGGACAAGTGCTTATGGTGTCATATTTAAGAAATTTGCCCAACCTCACAATTTTTCTTCATATTTTTTTCTAGAAGTGTTTGACCAGATGCAAGAATCTCTTTCTGGACTCCATATTTTCTTCCACTTGTCCAATAGCTGCCAACCTATGGTTATGATTACCATAGATTTTTAATGTCTTCAAATCAGGTAATGTAAGCTCTATAAGATTTGTTCTTTATCAAAGCTGTTTTGGGTAGTATAGGTCCTTTGCATTTGTGGATGAATTTTAAAATCAGGTTGCCTAATTTTTATGTGGTAAAATGTATGATAGTATAAATTTGCCTTTTAACCATTTTAAATGTGCAGTTCGTTGGCATTAAGACGCTCCCAATAGCACAGTTCAGGTTTTAGTTACTATGATATATTAACTGTGAGTAACTGCATAAAGAATAAATGTTGCTGTTAGCTCCTCAGGGCACAAATCATTACATAAATTACAGATTAAAGGGAATCAAAGTTTAATCACTCTGAAGCTGTCCTTTTTGAGATAATGATTTTAAGCTGTTTATTAAAAAGCAAGACTCAGAAAGAAGTTTTGACACTCCCTCCCCAACCCCTACCCTTTCCTGTCCAAGAGATTCAGACAGAAAAGCCTGCATCAGGAAAGAAATATTAGGATGTTCTCCTTAGCCTACTTTGAATGAACTATGTTAGAAAGGACTTCAGGCAGGGGCCGCTGGCCAGATACTCTCTGTGTCCCATTGCTCCTGAGCTGCATAGCAAGAACTTTTTGCCATGTGTGACCTGCTCCACCTCAACTACCTATAAGTCTCCCATTTTCACTTCTGAAACTTAAGATCCCATTCCCCATACTTTTCTCCTTTGTCCAAAAATGTCTTATGTATCCAATGTTGCCTCACTGTCTTTGGAATTTTCACGCTTTTGTGGATCCCACCAATGTGCATGTATTAAAACTTGATTTTCTCCTGTTAATCTGTCTCTGTCCATTTCATTATTATAGCCCAGCCTAGCAGAATTTAGAAGGTGGAAAAATTATTAATGTTTTTGGTTCCCACAAGATGCACAGTATGATCAGTGATCAATTGCATCATATTCTTTCAAAGTCTGTTGGTGCTTGGTCATTGCCATCTGTTACCCAGCTCACATAGGCAGCAAAGCACATGGTGGTGTTGCATCCTTGATTCCCACCAAGAACCCTCACTACACTTCACAAACATGGATAACTGAAAAGGCAGAATTGGCCAACGAAGATGAAAGAGCAGCAAAAACCCAAAGTTGATAACGCTAAAAGTGAACTTCAAATAGGATTCCTAGAACAAGCGACTGACGATGAGAATGTTGACATTGCTGTTATTCGAGAGACTGTAGGTATGCAGCCAGGACACTTAGTGAGGGGGCATTCATTGCCATGAAGGAGGAATGGCTTGTGGTGCAAAGGATGAAGCTGTCTTCCTAAATTGAAACTGCAGACCCATTAAACACTAACACCCCATTCCGCCTTCCCTCAGCCCCTGGCAGCGACCATTCTACTTTATGTCTCTATGAATTTGACTGCTCTAGGTACCTCATGTGAGTAGAATTGTACAGTATCCATCCTTTTGTGACTGGCTTATTTCACTTAGCATAAGGTCTTCAAGTTTATCCATTTTGTAGTATCTTTCAGAATTTCTTTCCTTTATATGGCTGAATAATGATCCACCATATTTTGCTAATCCACTTATCTATCATTGGACACTTGGTTGCTTCTACACTTTAATAAATATTATACACACATGTGTACAAATATGTTTGAATTCTTGCTTTCAATTCTTTTTTTGTACACATCCAGAAGTGAAATTGCTGGGTTTTTAATTTTTTGAGCCACACAGTGGCTGCATCATTTAACAATTCCACCATGCACAAGGGTTTTAATTTCTCTATGTCCTTTCTAACATTTGTTTTATTAAAAAAAATAGTCATCCTAATGGGTCTGAGGTAGTATCTTATAATGAGTTTGTTTTGTATTTCCCTAAAGATTAGTGATGTTTAGCATCTTTTCATGTGCTTATTAACCATTTGTATATCTTCTTTGGAGATATGTCTATTCAAGTCCTTTGCCCATTTTAAAATCAGGTTTTTGTTGTTGTTGCTTTTGTTATTGAATGTAGGAGTTCTTTAAATTTCCTGGATATTAACCTTTTATCAGTTACTTGAGAATAATATTTCCATTCTGTGAACTGCATTTTCACTCTGTTGATAGTGACCTTGGATGCACAAGCTTGCCTAATATTTAAGCTTCAAATAGGCCACTTGACGTAGTCATGTTCCTCTGTAATAAAGTCAGGCTAAATGTTGCTGATGAAGGACGGTTAAACAGAAACAACTGTATTAGTTATCTATTGATATGCAATGAATTACCCAGAAATGGCATGGCTTAAAACAATAATAAGTATTTTTTAACTTTCACAGTTTCCATGTGGCAGGAACTTGATAGTGGTTTGGCAAGCAACCTGGCTTGGAATTTCAGTCAAACTCTGGTTGGGGAAGCAGTCATCTTAAGCTTTAAATGGGGCTGAAAGGTGTCCCCCATGTGACTCACACACATGTCTGACAAAACTGGTGCTTGCCATATTGGTAGAAGGACTCCCTTCTTCCTGCGTGGAGCTCCACATCAGGCTGCTTGGGTGTCGTCATGACATGATAGTCATCCAAGAATCATGATGGAATCTGTGATGCCTTATATGACTTAACCTCAGAAGCAAAAAAAAACAGGATGATTGGACAAAATTGAAAGTATGGGTTTTGTTTTGTTTTGCCTTGTTTTATTTGTTTTCATCCTTAAGATTATTATTTGGCTGAATTGAGGATCAGAAGGTGATGGAATTCTTTTTCATGACTGATTTCTTGATTTTCTGAGAACGTGGAGATAACCAGAAGCTCTTGGCATTATTAAAGGTGGGCCAAGGTAAACAGAGGTCTTTTGTGTTTAGGTGAGGGTGTATGGCCCACACCTAGGAGATCCTGTCTGAGTCTATCTAGGACTCAGAGAAGTTCTGGCACTTTGAGGACTGGTTTCTCCAGAGATAGCACCACAAGCTAGAAAGTGATGCTCTTACTAAGGGGTGTTGGGATGTGGCTTCTCCAATGGCTTCAGAGGCAAGAGACTGAGGCAAGTGAAGCAAGTAGAAGAAGCCAATTATAGGTGCTACAGAGTAGGTACTACATCTGACAAATGATGACAAAAGAGAATGTCAGCATGTGGATGGAAGCCTTTTGGGGATGTCTAGGGACCCCTGGGTGTCCACTACTGGCAACCCAGCTAATGGTATTCTCAGCTATCACAACTTGCATGTAAAAACAGTATGATCTTGAAGACTTCTGCCAAAATGGAGGCGTAGGTAGAAACACTCTGCCTTCTCTCACAACCAAGTTTAAAAACAACAAAGTTTTAGCAACAAAAATGCAGCCAAACCACAGAAAATTGAACTACATGGAAGTCTGACAACAACGAACCCTTCAGCCAAACTGGTAAGAGGGGCAGAGCCAGCAGCAGAGTGAGGTCGGGCAGGAAAGAGCTACCAGACTGACCGGCGCATGACCCAGTCGGGCAGGCAGTGGGTGGATCCCAGGTGTGGAGTAGCAGTGGGCAGACCCACTGAGGGCTGACTCCAGTCACACATTCGTGCACAGATATACCGGCGAAGGAGCCAGCAGTGAGACAGACCATGCAGGCCCCAGCGGTGGGAAGCAGCAGAGGGGACCACTATTGTCCCTCTCTGACCCCGCCCCTGCATACAGCATCACAAACCAGCGACCTGGGTGGCCCTGCCCTGGTGAACATCTAAGGCTACGCTCCTCATACCTAACAGGCGCAAACAGAGCAAAACATTATGGCTAAAGAAGAACAGCTCAAAGCCCCAGAGCCAATAACTCTAAGTGATGAAGAAATAGCCAAACTCTCAGATGCACAGTTTAAAACACTGGTGATCAGGATGCTCACAGAACTAGTTGATTTTAGTCACAAATTAGAGGAACATATGAAGGCTAAGCTAATTGAAATGAAGGGAAATGCATAGGAAACCAATAGTAATGGAAAGGAAACTGGGACTCAAATCAAGGGAGTAGACCAGAAGGAAGAAAAAAAATGACCAAATAGAAAAGGATGAAGACACAAGAATTCAAAAAAATGAGGAGAGGTTTAGGAACCTCCAGGACATCTTTAAATGTTCCAACATCCGAATTATAGGGGTACCAGAAGGGGAAGAGGAACAGCCATGAGTGGAAAATTTATTTGAACGAATAGTTAAGGAGAACTTCCCCAATCTGGCAAAGGAAATAGACTTCCAGGAAATCCAGGAAGCTTAGAGTCCCAAAGAAGTTGGACCCAAGAAGGAACACACCAAGGCACATCATCATTATATTAGCCAAGATGAAAATGAAGGAGAGAATCCTAGAAGCAGCAAGAGATAAGGGGACAGTCACCTACTGCTGCGGTCCAGCGGCAGCGGGTCTAAGGGTCCCCTCGAGGTGAAGGTAGGAGTCGGCGCGGAAATCAGGCAACTACACAGCTCAAGGCAGGTGATGCTCTGAAGACCTTTATTGAAAGTAAGGCTGAAGCTTTTATACTATTCTAGCTGGCAAGTGATTTCAGCTGGCAAGCGATTTCGGATTCATTGGCTTTTGCAGTTACTGTTACTATGCTTCTTGGTCTGAACAGGAACTTGGCTGTCTGCCTTGGTTAGGCTGTTGCAGGGGGCCTATTCTTATTCTGCGTTTTAGATATGTCTAAAATTGACTCGGGGGGGTGGGTAAACATGCCCTTCATGCCACGTCCACCAGGTTGGAAAATGCTTCTTTGAAGTCTTGGACCTCCCCTCCTGACTTTGTCAAGGAAGGGATCCAACTGTGGATGTGGCAACCTGCAAAGGAGTTCCCATCAGACTGTCAGCGGATTTCTCAAAAGAGACCTTACAGGCAAGAAGGGGCTGGAAAGAAGTATTCCAAGTCATGAAATCCAAAGACCTACAACCAAGATTAATCTATCCAGCAAAGCTTTCATTGAGAATGAAAGGGCAGATAAAGTGCTTCTCAGATAAGGTCAAATTCAAGGAGTTCATCATCACCAAGCCCTTATTATATGAAATGTTAAAGGGACTTATCTAAGAAAAAGAAGATTAAAAATGTGAACAGTGAAAGGACAGCAAACTCACAGTTATTAACAACCACACCTAAAACAAAAGCAAACTAAGAGGACAGCAGCAAACTAAGAGGACAGCTAGATCAGGAGCAGAACCATAAAAATGAAGATCACATGGAGGGTTAGCAACAGGGGAGTGGGAGAAGGAGAAGGGGGGAGAAGGTGCAGAAAATAAGTAGCATAGATGTTAGGTAGAAAATCGATAGTGGGAGGACAAGAATAGTAGGGGAAATATAGAATGTAAAGAACTTGAGACACATGTTCATGAACTAAAGGGGGGGGGGAATGGTGGGGGAGGGGGTGTGCAGGGTGGAGGGGAATGAAGGGGGGAATAGAACAACTATAATGGCGTAATCAGTAATATATATATAAACAGTATGGTATTATTTGTAGATGATTATTATTGACATATTGTCTATTTTTTTTCAAAATAAATCACAATCAGCATTTTCTAACCTTCAGGCAAAGAGAATACTAAGTATTTTATTCTTTCACAAGACCATCCCCAGCAAGTGTTCAAACTGTGGTTAAACCAAATGGTGCCAGAGTATTTATTCCATTTGTCATTAGGAGAGCCAGCTTGGCAGAAAATCCCTATGTTTTTAATAACTTATGCAGGGTCCTTAGATTGAAATTATATCTGTTCAAAATTTAGGCAACCTGTGACATTTTATTTTTATAAACCATTTTCAGAATTAAAATTGTGAAAGCTTCCAGACACCACAAAGCTGCCATTTGGTTTTAGACTATTTCTCGGTTTACAGAATAATGTTAAATGACATCAAAAAGGAGATATAGTTGGGCTGGAATTACAGTGGAAAATGGGATTCTTGCCAGGAACTAATAAACTATTAGAATCAAGGGTGATTAGAATGGAAGTGAAGTAGTGGAGGCCTCAAGCACAGTCTTGCTGTGCGTTTACACATCTCTTGGTAAGATGCTAATTCTCCTGAATGAGTCCCTCCTCTCCAGGTGCTTCTGTGGCTTACTGATCCAGTGGCAGTCCCAAAAGGCAAAGGTATAAAATGACCAGCACTGCTTCCTCATGCAAGGGTTGCATTTTTGGCTGAGATGATGGCATGCTAAAATATTTTAACTTGCTTAAGTTTCAATAGCTTAGGTTTATAGCAGCAGCAGGGACCTATTGTCTAAGTAAGCTTTCCTCCTTTCCCAGGCTCCACTGGGATCCTGACTATAGGGAAATGTTCACTTCTAATGAGAATAATGATAAGAATGCAATTATAATACCCCCTAGTCCACAAATAAGACTCACTGTGTAGTTTGTTGCCTAAGTGCTTTGAAAAAAGAAAGGTATAGAAATGCTGAATGCAACATAAAGTGCCAAGGTGTTCTGGGTAGGTAAAAAGTAACTAAAAGCAGTCTGGAAAAGGCACTGTAGGAAAGAAATCATGAATCTCATTAAGAATGAAGGGGCCTGAATAGACACTTCTCCAAAGAGGATGTACAAGACGGTCAATAGACATATGAAAAGATGATCAACATCACTAATCATCTGAGAAATGCAAATTAAAACTGCAATGAGATATCACCTTATACCTGTCAGAATGGCTATAATAAATAAATCAACAAAAAAGTACTTATGAAGATGTGGAGAAAGGGGAACCCTTTTGCGCTGTTGGTGGAAATGCAGACTGGTGCAGTCACTGTGGAAAGCAGTATGGAGATACTTCCATAAAAATAGATCTGCCTTTTGACCCAGCAATTCCACTTCTGGAAATATATCCAAAGGAACCCAACACTAATGTGAAAGAACGTAAGCACCCCTATGTTCATTGCAGTGTCATTTTCAATCACCAAGTAATGGAAACAACCCAAGTGTTCATCAGTAGATGAGTGGATAAAACAACTATGGGACATTTACACAATGGAATACTACTCAGCCATAAAAAAAAAGAAAATTTTACCCTTTGTGACAGTATGGGTGGACCTGGAGAATATTATGCTAAGTGAAATAAGCCAGTCAGAGAAAAACAAATACCATATGATTTATTCATATGTAGAATCTAATGAACAAACTGAACTAACAAGCGAAATAAAGACAGACTCATAGAGAGAGAGCAGGATAACAGCTAAGGGTGAGGGGAGATTAGGGGTGAAGGGATTGAGCAACAAGGGAAAAGGTCTCATGGGCATGGACAATAGTGTGGTGATTGTTGGGGAGAGGAAGGTGTAAGGGGACTAAATGATAATGGAAAAAATAAAAAAGTTAAGAAAAAAGAAAAAAGAAATAATTTTATTAAGAATGGCAAAATGAAAGTAATGATTAATTATGGCAACTAATTACCATGTAGGATTACCATTTAAATATTAAATTTATAAAAATCTTCCAATAGGCTTAACAAAGAAAATAATGTGAAATGTTGGTTTTCTCTAGATAGACAGCAAGTGCTAAAGACTATCCCCATAGCCTGGGAGTTAATTACCTGGCTCATTTACAACCTCTGCTTTGCACACTAGAAAGCATCAGATAACTGATTCATAAGTCATAGCTGAGCTGAAACTTGGGAAAGCACTGAGAAAGACTTGAAATAAACATACTGAGCAAAAGGCTTCAATATTGGAAGAAAGATATCATCTGTGGGAGTTTGAGGAGGGAAAAGCAAATAAATAGGAGAAAACCAAACTATTGAATAAAATTAGTTTTGAGAAGTTTTATAGGAAATTGCTGTGTTTTAAAGTAATGTTGTCCTAACCCCACATTTTTCAATGATGTTTCCAAATGGCAAGAGACTGAACCTGTCAGGGACTTGTTTCATTTTCTTTTTCAGTTTCTTATGTTTGGTGTGACAATTCTATGCTTTACCTCTATACTGTTCAAAAAATTTAAAGACAATGCGTGATTGTATTGTTATTTGTTAAGCAAACAGACAAAAAATAGATGGATACATACTTAAAAAAGATTCTAATGCTACTGAGAAATTATGGGAACAAAAGAGGGTCAAGCATTGGGAAATAAATGTGTGTTTCCTGTTTTTTCATCTCTTCTGTCTAGACCTGTTGGCAGAGAGAACAGTTTTACTTTGCCTTCTATTCCTCACATGCAAAACAAACATGAAATGCCCAGTATTCAAACAGGGAAAGCATTACAGGGTTGGTACATGTGCTTTGCCATGTACCAAGACATCTCTAATGTGGGCAACATCCTTAGGAGGTGAGGTGACATTCCATTACAAAGGGATGGCTTGATGTAAGTAGAAAGGTCCGATGTTTATCAGTTAAGGATGTATAACATGCTCTCTGCCAGCAATTTCCCACCTTTCCCATCTCATGGCACACAAACTAATTACTAGAATTCTGTGACATAGTAAAAAAAAATTTTTTTCCATCTGACAAAAAATATAGGTGTAATTTTGATTCATTCACACCATATGGCTATTGTTCAGTTGGCTGTTGTAATTTTTTTTAATTTGACAATTTAAAGGAAAAGAGGTCAGTGTCCCTGACAGAGAGTCAGGTATTGCAGGTTGTAAAAGTTCTCGTGACACACTAGTTGAAAATTGCTGCTCTGTGTAATTTCTGTTTGACACATAGTAGGCACTTGATATACATCTACTGAAGAATTTCTCCAGCCTGAGCCTTTGATGAGGTTAGAGATAAACTTGATCTTTATAGCATGCAATGGACTTATATATGAATGATTTATTAAATCATTATTGTTGTATAATAAACATGATTGATTTTTAGGGAGGCTGTCGTGAAGAATAATGAAGTGTTATTTATGGAAGACATTTAAATTTCTCAAGCAAAAAGTTCCATTTAAATAGATGATATTATATTTTAAAATGTGGCCAAAAGGGGAGAGAAATAACCACATGATTACAGTATGTGAATTATCTTTCATTCTTGTCACAATACTGAACAGTCTTATTTCTCTTGAAGGGGTTCAGGATAGGCCTCCTCAAGACGTGTGACTTTGGCATGTGGATTATTTCAAACTGAAGGCAACTGAGACTCTGTAAGCTCCTGAGACACTTTTATATCTTCCTTGAAGGATTTAAATCAGGGGCCCTGTCCATAATGAATTATCACTAGCAATAACCTTCAGTGACCAATCAGTAGGGTAGGACAAATGTCAAATTCCTGAATGTCTGCTCTTCTTTTCATCCTGAAAATGACCTCACTCTCCTCCGAAGTCCTTGAGGTGCCTTGCCTCATCTCTAGCTCAGAAGGCCATCCATCTGTATTTTCCCTTTCTGACACAGAACCACTCGTGCATGTGGGGTCTTCAACTCTCTCATGTATGTGGGGTTTCATATGTACATATATAATTAAATTGGGTTATTTTCTCCTGCTAATCTGTTACGTAGATTCATTTGTTAGGCTAGTCAAAAGAACCCTGAAGAATGGAGCCAAGTTGCTTTCTCCTCCGTAGCTTTTTTGTCATGTCATAAAAATAATTAGTAATAGTTATTGTTTTTAGAGGAATTGCTTCTGTACAGAAGTTCTAGCCATTTGGGCATACTAAGCCTTTGGAGAATTCATCATTTCCTGCTTTTGGGGAGGAAGTTTGTGATAGGCCACTGTGTCCCTGAACTCAAGGATCGTTTCCAATAAAGCATCTGAACTCTATAGTTTGAAGAGCAGCAGAAAGAAGTGCTGGCTGCTGGTGATGGCTAAGGTTGTTACGCTACAGCTCTTATTTGCTGGGCAGTTTTATGGGAGGAAACTGATTTACAATCATCAAGGGAGAAAGGTCAATTTGTAGGCTGTAGATTTACCATTCATCACTGCATTTTATAGCCTCATTGGTGATTTTATTTCCTGATATCAAACTAGTCACTTTGGTCTTATGAAGGCTTTTCCTCAACTGATACATTTTTCTGACATAAACAAGGGAGAGCTGCACATGTCGGAAAGTGTATTCTTCCATTTCAGCTACATGAGGCAGGGATAGCTGATTCCCTGTGAGCAGTGAGGAAGTACTCAATAATCAACTTGGGGTGGTGTGACTTTGACATTGAAATACCTGCCCTCCTGTTCCTCTTCCACCCCTTCTCTACACCTCCTTCCACTCCCACCAATTTCAAGACTCTGAGCTAATCCATGGAGTCAATAGGGCTGGATGCCAACATGAAGAAAGGCACTTTGGGAGAAGTAATCTCACAGTTGACAGAGGCAAAACCACCATTCTCCCTCAGACCTCAGATCTAACCTTGGTGTCCATGCAGTTTTAATAACTGTAGGAAATCTTCAAAGATCATTGCTTCCTGCCAAGAAACCCTAGGTAATTATATAAAGTCAAAACCATTTGCAACTTGCACACAGATCACACTGTAGTTTATAGGATCATTAAATATAATCTGATAAATAGAATAGATATTGCTGTACATATTAAAAATGCTGTGTTAGCTATGATATATACTTCCTCTTCCTTTGAATCACAATCCCAATGAGAACATTATAAACTACATATAAATAAATAAACTATATGAAATGCAGATCTAACTCCATAGTGAGTTGGATTATTTTTGTTTAACTCATCTCTCTGGCTCACGATGTTTGGATTATCATATAGAGATTGCTGGATTCGACCTTTCTGTCATAGTCAGTCACTAGTTATAAGAAGTTAAGGCTTGTGCTTATTTTTTTCATCATTTACATTTCCAGGGCCTGTCATGGTGCTTGGCATGATAAATATTTTCTTCAGGAATGAATTTTATTGGTAAAGAAAATCTGGCAAAATCTTTTTTTTTTTGTGGGCTCTCAAATTCTAGACGGGAAGTCTGCACGCGTCCCCTAGATCTGGCTCTCCCTGACGTCACGTAAAGCTGTCATGTGTAGCCCACTGTGTCTAAACCAGTCTCCCCATCTTCCCCTTTCCTCACACCCCTGTATTCGTCCTGATACTATGCACTCAGACACTGCCATGAAAACCTCATGGTCAAATTGGACATCTTTCTCCTTGCAAAATATGACAAGTCAATAAAAGTGCTCTAGGAAGTTTTGTTTACAAATGTTTCTTGCATTCGGAATGTTACTTAATTTAGTCTTTCTCCCATTTAGTATTTACTTGTTGGTTGATCTTCCCATTTTACTCCACTTTTATCCCGGCACTTCCTGTTCAAAAACCATGAGTCCCTTACTACATTCTGTTAGCAAAAGGTGTGCCCCTTGGTCTGCATGCAGGGTTCCCCAGGATGGGTCTCCAGTGCATGGCCCAATTTAACTCCAGGGGTCGCAAACACAACCCTTTGTCACTCTTCGTGCCTTCTCCTTCCTACCCGGGGTTTGGCTCATGTTGGAGCCCCTGCCCTATCTGTCCCAGCTGCTCCTGTTTATTCCAAACCTTCCTATACGAAACAATACTGCAGGTGGGTTGAGCCTTGGGCAGCCAGGCCTCAGTTTACAGTCCTAGCTCTACTCACTTAACATTTAACCCCTCTCCCTTTTAAAGTGAGTTACATTTCCAAGTACTATAGGTCATCCTGTACAACTGAATTCTTAAGGGATTTGACTTCTTTGGTTTTATAGCTCTTATCCTGAAGCTTGGATAACAGTTGCCATAAAATGCAAGATGAAATTTTAGAACATTAAATGTTATCAATACCACATTGGGTGCCAGTGGCAAAACACAGGATAATACAGTACCCTGGTTTACATTTTCTGGTGTTCCTTATACTCTTAGGGTGAAGCTGGGTCCAGTTTTGTCTCCTGTGCAGTCCTCCCTCCCCTTGGAGCTAAGGAGCACAGCAGTGTGAGCCCCCAGGACTGCCTCACTCACAGTCGGCAGGGCTGTCCTCTGCTGACTTGAGACCCTCCTGGGGACACTCCCACGGGTGAAGTCACTCCTGTGGGTGAAGTCACTCCCATGGGGACTGCTATTGTACTTCAGTTAGCTGGTATGGTTAGCCATGGGGTGACTGCTCAGCAGCTCTGTCACGTCCCTGCTGGTAGAGCCACCTGTCTCTAGTCCAGTAGCTTTAATTGTCCCCATACATGGGAGTCACAGAGTAGTCTGGGAGGTGTAATTGCTGTTCTTTCAGCAGAGTTCTTGGTTCATGCCACAACCTGTGAAATGAAGGGTCTCGTTAAAGAAGCTTCCACCCACTTGTCACTCAGCCACCTCTTTGGTTTTGCAAAGTGTTGCTCAGCAAAAGGCTCGATGTAAAGTCCATTTGCTGAGTAGCTGCTGACTCTTCAGTGACAAAGGGAAGTCAGTCCATCCCAAGGAAGAGATGACTGTCACTACAGTCCTGGGGACTTTCTGGTCCACCTACAACCTGAGGGGTGAGTACCCCTTCCCTTGGGGACTGGCTGTTTGTTCTGGTAATAAGATACCATGACTGTGTTGATGCTGGCCCCCTGCTGACTCAGCAATAACAGGCAGTTTTATTCATATTGGTGAACTCTGATTCTCAGATGAAGGTGAATCATAAATCATCTACCATGTCTCCGATTTTTGTGCTTTGTGGAAACAGACATAAGGATGTTAACTTTCACTTTTACCAAATAGGACATTAATAAAAATCTACTATCTTGTGTTCTTCAATAAAGCAGAAAAAACCTATAATCATCACATTAAAAAAGATGTTATTAAATGGAATAGATTTAGCTTTATGATTTCTATTTTTTTTTCAGTTCCCTAGGGCTGGATGAAAAATGGGCCAGGAACTGGCTCTGGTCATGGGTCATGAGTTTGGGAACCATTATTATATGAACCTTGTTGAAGGCCCTGTTTCTACGCATCAGCTCTGGTACTGGTCCCCTCCTCTTCCCTATACAGATCCATATATTTATAGTACAGTAAACAATTATTTATTGTCTAGTATTGTCCTCTAATGGTTTCATGTGTGAATACCTTCTTTTCCAACCAGACTGTAATGCTAGGTAAATAGAAGGCACTGAACAAGTAACTTTTTGAAATTTTTTTATGATACATACCTGTATGTTGTTTAGAGGACTGTCAGCTGTTCGAATACACATGTACACGTGTGTGTGTGTGTGTCTGCATGTTTTGGATTCTGCTGCAATTCTTAATTCACACAGGTGTATAAATGAAATGTGCACAGTTTTGAAGAATTAAACGGGCTTTTTAAAATAAGAAAACAATCTTTTGGAGTTAATGCTTCATCTTTGCCTACATTTCCTAATGAGGCTTTCTCATCCTAATGAGAAAGATGAACTATATATTGAGTAGACAAGGCCCTGCATTTGAACTATTTCTAAAGCCTCTCATCATTTTTGATGATTTAGTAATCAGGCAGGTTGGAACTGGTAGTTGAGCTCTCCCACAAAATATCAGATTTCTCTTTCATTTTCATGTACTTTTTAATTTAAAAAAACCATAAAAGTTTCCTTAGAGTGACAGTGAAGCTTCTAACATTTGTAACTTCCTAATTGCTCTCACTGTTTAGGAAAAAAATGAGTCCTCAAGTAAAACTTAAGTGGAAAAGATTAAAATTCAGAATTATAGACTTTTTATTTGAATGAATGCTCACTATTTGCAGGAAATTTTATCTGTCAGCTATAGCTTCCCTATATTTGTCAGTCCTTGAAAAAGTACTTAATTTCTTTCTCAAAAATATATGAAGAGTTTTATTATTTGAAAATAAGCCCTTTGGATTGGCATGACTCCCTCCACCCCCCCAACCCCTCAGTTTTACTCTGCTTTTGACTATAAGCTGAGCACACACCATCCATGTTACAAATGAATGATTCAGCCTGGGGACATGCTGGAGAACATATGAGTGAACAAAACGAATAAGTGACAGAGCATCATTATCTTCGGGAAATTTTTAACTGCTATGATTTATGATGTAATTTACATGGTTGATTTGTGATATGTGCTCAAGGCTGTTCAATTGTTTACCTTTTTGTGAATTCTTGTTGTTTTCCTGAATGAGTTCTCACATTCATATGTATCAAGTCTTCTGACTAAATAAAATCATCTTTTCTTACCCATGACACAGCTCTTTAATCACATTATAATTTTGTGTTTGGACTCTTTTCCTTAAATAATATATTTCTATTTCTACTTAGTGGAGTAAATTGTTAGTGCCTGATTAATATTTTGAGGGGGGAAGGATAATATGACTTTTTCCCTTCAAGGAGTATGCACTATGACTTCACTCTGTGAGAGAGATTATGAGTGCGGCTAAAGAAAAACAGATACTTTTGGTAAAAAAATCTCAGAATGGGAGTAAGGAAAGATCTTACTTCCCCCAAAACAATCACTATAAATGTAAATTTTATTATACCTAATTAAAATGTTTAAGTTTTAATAAACATTTCTAGTTGTAGTTTTCCTGATTAATAACTTCTGTCAACAAATATTTGTTGAGTGTCTACCAAGCCTTGTTCTACGTGCTGGGAGTATTGTACTACAGTCCCCTTTATTCGTGGGGGATACTTCCAAGACCCCCCGGGGATGTCCAAAATCATGGATGGTACAAAACCCTATATATATTATGTTTTTTTCTATACATACATATACTTTATGGCTTTTCTTTGGCACACCCAAATTGCAGTTCGGTGCCATTATTGAGTAAACCGATGGCTACTTGAACACAGGCACTGTGGTACTGTAACATAGACCTGGTAACGAAGACAGCTACCAAGTGAGTAACCCAGGGTAGGGTGTCGTGGTGGGGGTGGGTTAGCATATAGAGTGTAGACAAAATGAACTGTGCAAGATTTCATCACTGTACTTACGGTGATGAACAACTTAAAACTTATAAATTGTCCGTTTCTGGAATTTTTAATTTAATATTTTCCAACTAAGGTTGACCATGAGTAACTGAAACATTGGAGAATGAAACCATGGATAAGCGGGGGATGGAGGGTGGGGGAGTGGGGGTGGGGGTAGAGGGGTGGGGGGGACTGCTGTAGCAAAAAACAGAAAAAGCTCTGCCTTTGTGTGGTTGCTATTCTAATGAATCCCGATGAGCTAGTATATATTCTTAAAAAGCTTGTTATGTGAGTTTCCTGAGTTTTATACAAAAGACTCAGATATTTATATATTGCAGCCTAACTAGTAAAGGAACCAAAATGAATAATTTTGGGTTTGATTCTTAGGGCAGCATAGTGCACGGGGGGTGTGGAAAAACACCCTTTTAGTAGATTTGGCATCTGAGCAAGTAGCAGGTGTGTGCTATGGTGAGTAAAACTAATGCAGCTATGAAGAAAGAGTAGGAGACCATTCTGCGTGGCGTGGGCCCAGCCGCCAAAGGCAAACATTTACTGCAAAGTAACTAAAATCCATGCAAAATCTTCCGAGGATGAGTGCAACCGGTTCAACCACTTTTGACCTTTTCATTTGCAAATATCCCTCTTCTGTGATGTTATTAGTGGCATTGGCTCCTTTGTTTCCTGTGAAAGGCAATCACCTAAAGCAACCTGTACGTAGTAAATGAGGACCATCATGTCCAATGCCGAGAAACCCAATAAAGGCCAGTTCAGCAAGGGCCCTGGCTTTTGCTCCCCTTGAGAGAAAAGCCATGCTGTCCCTTTTCCTCCACCAGACTCAGTAGTCTGTGTGAATGTCTCATTTCATACATAATGACATGGACACTGCGGGCTGGTGTCCACATCGGAAAGTAACACGGAACACAGAAATGGTCAGGACTGTTTTCAGAAGACCTGTGACTATGTCTTCCCAGACATGTATGAAAACATTCTGAAAGGCCAGAGAGAAAAAGCGTCCTTGCCTTTGATTTAAGACAAAGGATTTTTCAAAACAATAACTGAAATAGAAAGTTGGACTTGGTCAGTTTTGGAGGTTTGAGGCTGGGATAAAACTTTAGGCGGAGCTGGTCCTAGTCACAGGTGAGAAGAAGGCAGAGTTGGGCATTCTCCTTTCCCCACCTCCTATTACCCCTTTCTCCCTCTGACTTATGATGTCTCCTGTTCTGCTCCAGGTGGCAGGAGGCAAGTACTGGACCTTCGTTCCAAAGGCCTGAGCTTAAACTCCTCCTCTGCTATTTATCCCTCAGGTGAGTGGGAACAAACCACTTTGTTAAGCCTCCGTTTTCTCATCTATAACATGAAGATAAGAATACCAACTTCAGATAGTAATTGTGAAGATTAAACAAACTGTATGCGAAAGTGCTTTGAAAGGATTAACAACAAGAATTAGCATAGTAGCTAATATATCCTCAAGGAATGGCAATGAAATGCTGAGAAACACAGAAACTCTACACTAAAGCCTGGAAATGGAATGGCAAGTGGTGGAAGTTTTATTTCAGTGAGGTGTTTCTGTCAGACTGGGTCCTAAATTATAGTACATGTGAAGCTTCTTCCTCTGCCTGCAAAAAAGGCTTATCCAGCCCTGTTTGCCCAGATCCCCAGTTACTCACTCTAGCCAGGCTGGTCCCGGATGGAACTTTATAAGGGACGTACTTCCTGTAGATATGGCCAACTCTAGAACATGGAACGTCGAACATTTCTCCTCCACACATCCAAACCTAAAGAGAGGAAGTTTAAATGTATAAAAAAATCCCCATAAAATTTCATGCAAAAAAGGAATTATCAGTAAGATTCAAAAACATCTTAAAAATCTCTTCAAGTTTCAAAATGAATATTTTCTATTTATTATAAATGGGTAAACAAGAAAGGGAACCGTATTAAAAAAACCCACATTCATAAAAGTATAGAACCAAAATACTAGCATAATAATTTAATTGCCATAGACATCTTGGCATTATTTTTATTCTAGTAGAATTTTATTATAATTATTACACTGAACTGAAATTTAATGTCTAGACATCTTATTTATATAGATACTTGTTTTGACACTCTTGTGAAATTATTTGAAGAACATTAGAATTTAAATGTCAATTAAAAAATTTAAATGATAAAAAATGGAATTTCTAAAATAGATGAATAAATTAAGGAACACAGATGTACCCATACTTGAAGTCACATCTAGATTCTGAAATTTTCAGTAAAGCTCATCTTAAAAATTATAGTTGTACTCTAATTTTCCCCACCATTGGTTTTTTCTTAGGTAGAGAAAATAATTGGTTAGTGATGTGGACACAGGAAATATTACGTTTGAGCTTTGTGTTAAAATGCTGTGCTTACTTAGTAACAAAAATTAATTGGTTATATTTTATCATGACTACGTACTTAAACACACACGTAATCATGGTTTTATATCTAACAGACTGCTTGCTATAAAAGGACAAATTATCAAAACAAAAATCGAGCTTCATATAGACTAGATTTTTAGCTATTTTCATTTTAAGAAAAAGATGAAAAAGAGTTAGTTACTACAATGGTTAGTTTTATATGTCAGGCTCACTACAGTGTCTAGATATTTGGTCAAACATTATTCAGGATATTTGTATAAGGGTGTTTTTTTAAATGAGATTAACATTTAAATTGGTGGATTTTGAGTAAAGCAGATTACAATGGAGATGGATCTCATCTAAATAGGTCAAGGACTTAATAGAACAAAGACTAAGCCCTTCCAAGGCAAGAAAGAACTCTGTCAGCTGTCTGCCTGGACTGGAGCTTTAGTTTTTCTTTGGGTCTTCAACCTGCTGGTCTACCTCACAGGTTTTGGACTTACAAATCTTCTCAATTGTGTGAGTTAATTCACTGAAATAAATCTCTTTCTTTCTATACACTTCTTGTTGACTCTGTTTCTCTGAAGAACACTGACTAATACAGATGCATAGATTGCTTTAAAGTAGAACACTGAAAGGAAGAAAGAGAATTGTATATATCTTAACTTAAACTTGCTTCCAATTTCTTTTGTTAAGAGAAATGACACCCCATGGAAGACTGGTGAACAAATAGTCATTAGACTGAATGGAAATCCAAGGGGAAAGCAATTCAGTTATTAAAACAACCCCCAGTTGCTCTAAATGAGTTCAGGACTACTCATGGTATCAATTTTAACTTGATGGGGTATTTATTAATGTTTTGGATCAAAACATCAGAAGTATGCATGCATGATATGAACCCTACCACAATCTCCAATAAATCAAAATTCATGTCTCCTATAGACTACGTACTTCTAAGTCTTAAAATTATTCCCATCAGAAGTTTTTTTTTTATACACAAGTCAAATTCAGGAACTTATGTCCAGATTTTTTAAAGATAAATTCAGTGTTAAAAGAACTATAGAATCTCGTAACTCATGACTTCATATTGTCATTATTATCACTTAAAACATAAATCTGAGTATTCATGCCTCCATTTAAAATCCTTCAGTGGTTTTCTATCGCTGTTAGGGTAAAGTTTCAGTTCCTCCATAAAAGTTTCCAAGGCTGTCTGTTACCTGGCCTTTGATTATGTAACTCTAAATTGCCCTCTCTTGTCCCTAACTCTCTCCCCTTCCTGGGATATTTTTAATTCCTTAGGAAGCACCAAATTTCCCTCCCCAGGGCTGACTGCCATAAATTTTTCTCTCCAAAGAAATTCTCCATCCCTATTCTCCCCCCTACCCTTCCTTCCTCTTGTCTTTCCTCTTTATTTTCCAGATTTCAGCTTCACTATCACAACCGAGCTCCTAGACTTGGTTAGGACTTCTACTTTATATACTTTGGCATCACATTTCTCTTTTACATAATTCACTGAGTCAACAAATAAACAGTGAATGCTTACGAGGTGCTTGGCCTTGTTCACCATGCTGGAGCTATGATGTGTGAGCACTTCAAAGTTATGAGCACATGGAGCTTTCTTTGAAGTGGAGATTTAAGACAATTGCAATTAAGCAATTTATTTGTGTGTTTGCATCATGATTTGTGGAGTGTTTGTCTTCCCTCACTAGGCTATAATTTCCATAAGTATTTTATTCATTATTATATCTTTAGCTACTCAACTTCAGCTACTCAAATAAAAATTTGTTGAGTAGTTGATATGATCACCTCTTGTTTCAACTATACTACCACTTATGCAAACATTTTATGGCCCTTCCAATGTAATGGTGCTTCTTACAACCTCGGGGCCAACTTGCTTTTCACTCTAAGCACACCGAATGCATTGTTTCTAATTGTAGAGTTATTTTGGTTTCTATACCGCAGATATCACCAGGCACATCTTTATTTTTTTGCAGTCTTACAACAACAGTGCCTATTTCGGTAGTGTCATCCTGACACATTAGAGCAGCAGTTTCAAATGGTGTTCCATGAGAGTTTTTAAAACACGCAATACTTGACTATTTAGTCAGGGCACAGACTTCTTTTCCTTTAGATCATCAAATAAAAAATTTATAACAGCCAACACAAGAGTCGTCTGGTGTGAATGAATCAAAATATACCTATTTTTTGTCAATAGGCAAGAAATATATTTTTGTGTGTGCTGCAGAATATTACTAATTAGTGCATGTGTGACATGAGATGAAAAAGGTCGACAATCACTGCAGTAGAGAGGCATGTTTAGGTAATTAGGTGGGAACCTTATTCCTTTGGAAAACACATCTATTGTGGCATTTATCAAATCCTATATTTATTATAAAAGATGTAGTTCATATTTTTAAAAGATTTCTTGTTAGTATAATGTGATGATATTCTGAAAAATGTCTATGGCATTGTCATACTTCAATATTCAGTTCTTGGAGAAATGTGTTAGATTTATAAATAACGTGTCTTATTTTGACAACATAAATATTTTAAAGCAATGTTATCTTACCCATGATTGAACACAAAGCATTTTTCCCCATAATGTAGTTAAAATTGACTAAATAATTGAATGCTTGCTTTAGTTTTTAAATCACTTTCATTATCAGCCACACATTGGAATTTAGACTTAGAGAATGTTAAATTGAATGGAATCATACAATTATACTGGTCACACAGAATATGAAATTACTTTCAGTAGGAAATTGATTGTCAGGAGGATAATAAGAAAACATTACTATCAGATATAAGATGAAACATAATATACTATATGGATACAATCTAAATTCTCAAAAAATGTGTTAATGTATTCACTTGCAAAATGTGCTGTCTCTCTCATTTTTTTTCATACTTTATACCCCTTTCTCTGCTCAAGCTACTATGTGATCTTATCTTTTCCTCCAACACGCCAGTTATTCCCCCACCTCAGGGCATTCGTACTGACTGTTCCCTCTATCTGGGATTCTTTTCCAGACACATGGCTAACTCCCCCATCTCCTTCAAGTCCTAAATCCTAAGGACTCCTCCAAGTCCTTTTGCCCTAAATACTCTCTCATCCTGCACTCAGTTCTCATGACCCTACTTTGAAAAACATCTTATGACTAGGTAAACAATTACTTTGCTATTTATCTAGAAATTAAAATATTAATTGTTAACCTAAAAAGCTTTGGACTGTATATACTGAAAAGGGCCACGTCTGTCATGACACTGTTTTTCCCACTAGATGTAGTAAAGCCGTTCCTTTTGGCCTGACTTCTACAAAATGGTAACAGTTGAACCCGCATACATCTTTGCTTTGCTTCACTCTCATAAACTTGGGTTTTCAGATTATTCTTTGAGATCAGGAGAAAAGAAAAGTTTATTTTGATCTTTCCTGACTTCCTTTTCTATTTGTTGATTGGCACATACTAAACACAGACATTGGGCAATGTACCCATAGTCTTTAATGAAGATATGGTAGTTGTTAATCTCAGGGAAAAGCTCTGGTTTCTTAAGCTATTTGCATAGGATTAAGCTATTTCCAAAGTCAGAAATGCTGTGTTATGTCAGTATAGAAGATATTGTGCCCAATCTATTTTGCATTTAATGAACTTCAAGAGGTCCGGGTGGGGAATAGCGGAGCTTCAGAGGGGACGCTGCACAGATGATCACTACTTTGACGATGCTGTGTTTGTATTGCAGCAACTCTAAACTGTCTTAAAAACAGTGATTCTAAAACAGCGATTAGTGTGGAGCCTGGAACAGAAAAACGGATAGGTCGCTTTTTGGTTCATTGGAAAATTAAGTCTTGGGAAGGGAAGAATGGATTTAAACATTTTAATAGTGCTTTTTCAGGTAAAATACTATGGTTAAGGACAGACTCCCTCATTTCCTTTCATTCATTATGCTACAGTTTAGAAGGTGCATTAGAGGAAATATGTTTGCTTTTTACCATTATTTCCATATGCCTCCAGATTTTGTATCTAATTGCTTAAATTTCTGGATTCACCATCTGCTAAAAACAAGAAAAAGTTTTTTAAAAAAACTTTTGTTTATGAGAGAAGGTGAAGGGATTAGCCAAAGAGCACATATGCATAATTCATAGACGTAGACAACAGTGGGAAGGGAGGGTGGGGAATGAGCGCAGGCAGGCAAAAGGGGGAAAAACGGGGACATCTATAATAGAGTCAACAACAAAATTAAAAAAAATTAAAAGCTTTAAAAAATTGGCTTTCTGTAACGGAACCACATTTCTGTTCTTTAGGGAAATTTGCAAACGGAATTCTGCTTTGCTCCTGAGTTGGGCTGTCAATCATACCAGCTTCCTAATGGCAGGAGTGGGAACATGACTCAGGCCA